CGTGTGTTGTGCAAAGGCAAACATATCAGATCATTACAGATACCCGACTCCTGTCAAAGATCTTATGATTTTGGTATAAATGAATTGCGCCACTTCGAAGTATGGAATACTTACACACCAGAACTTGTCTATGAAGAACATGCTAAATCATTTCTTGTTGCCCGTAGCAACCTTTCAACTTCACATTGTCATTTCTGCCTTTGAAAACGAAACAAGGATTCTGATTCTGATAGGTTACTTTGGGCAAAAAGAAACGTTCTTGTTAGCACCCTTGTCATACATCAGCCCCATTCTTGCTGCATAATTGTGAGACTCACTATAGCTGTCTAGATTTCTTTCACACATTTTCCGTTTACGGATCCATTCCATTACACCAGCACATTGCTGGAAAAGTTAATTTATTATACAGTCAACCAAAGGCAAAAACAAAGAATTTCCTTACAAGTGTAAATGAAGAAAATGTATATATGATAACTTTTTATATATTAAACAATTATGAAAGGGAGCACTAGATGAGAAATAGCACTGGATCAGTCATTCAGTATATATTAGGGCATCGCCAAAGATCAAATCCTATTTCTATTAATGAGACATAAGTAACTGTACCTGATCTTTGCACTATCAATTTTCTTCTATTAAGTAATATATTTATATACCACAGGAGGGGGAAGCATGTCCTAATACAGACCACTGACCATGAGGAAGATAAGTGCCCTTTTATTATGTCATGTTCCACATTGCCTTGCAGGTTAGATATGAGTAACGTCGTGCTGTAGCAGAATCAGTTCCCAATAATGACTTGTTCATCTCTAACCGATTTACCTGCTTCAGAGCTCACATATTGGTTTGTTTTTGGAACGTAAGACCTCGTGAGCAGGACTGCGTGTACCATAATAATGGAAGCAATGTTACAGGAGGCAGCACCAAGTCTCAGCGTTCACAAACTGTGATCATTTTTTACATTTGGTTTCCCTCTTTTGACCATTGCTGATCATTTGCGGCTAGATTCAGCAACAGAACTGTAGGGGAAAAGGGGTGAAAGGGATGTTGAGAGGAGTCACAAGACTTCAAGAAACATGAAGCCATCTCTCCTTTCTCTTGTTGGTTGGCCCATACAGTTAAAAAGCAGCTGTTAATATAAAGACAGCATATTGCCTCCAATAACATATTCCAGCATTAGTTTTAATGAACATAATCACACAAAACAAGTGGCAGAGCTTGTTCATTACGGCATCTTCATTCAGGTGTAGCTAGGGCAACATTGCTTGCGGGTTGTCTTCATGGCAAGGCTTGTAGTGCTTTTAAACCTGAACGTCCCATTGAGTTTGGGCCCTTTATGATAAGTGACGCTGACTGCAGGAGAAATTTTTATGTCTGCATAAAATAAATTCAATCCAGCCCCAAGATAAATGCTCTGTAAGCTGAAGGGAAGTGACGGGGGACTTGGATGTGCTTATAGGAAGGAAGAAGCTCCAGATGAGTGTAAGCAGTGTGGTGATTCAACGTGTAGTGTATAGGTAAGGCAAGGGGTAGGGCAGTGGCATCCAAAATTGTACACCTTTGAAAGTGGAGTCACATTCATGCCATGCAGGTGTGGGGGGATCACCAAAGCACGTGAATACGTTAAAAGTAATTGGCAGGTAAAAGAGTCCTTCTATATTGTATATGTAGATCAGCCTTTTATTTAGCCTTATGGCTGGATTCGTCCTTACAGCAATGGGCAATGCCACATTTTTTGTAAATATTTCCTTTCATAATTGACCCAAATACATTCTGTACATGTCCTTTCAGACTGAGAGTGGGGTCAATGAACTCAGACTGAGATTATTATTTGAGTGAGTCCCTGAATATGAAAGACAATTTTATATGCATCAGTGACCAAACCGACATGTTCTTCACTTCTGATAATAAAATAGGAGTTATGTATTATGTGACAATGTGTTTTGGGTTGCTTGTACTTTATTGCTGTGAGGATTTAGAAAAGGGAGATTACAATGGGAAAAAGAGAAGCTTAATTCTAACCGTTGTGCGTTTTCTTCTTTCATCATCCTCTTTGATGTGTATAGTTAAAATGAACTAAACAAATAAGTAAATAATGTCGGAGAGAAGGTGTGCGTCCATCTTTCATGACTGGCCATTGTCACTGGCCTTAGTTAGCTCCTTATATTCTGACAATGGACTTGAAGGCGGGTCATACAGCCCTTCTGTATCATCATTACTTATAGATAAGTGACTATCAATATCGGAATAGGAAACAAAAGTGCTGGATGACTCGTCCTCTAGTGCCGTGGTTCTCAACAGGTGGGTCGTGACCCATGTTCAGTGGGTGGCTGCATACCTTCCACTGCACTAGGCGAGAGGCTCCTCAGCTTACCCCGTAGCGCAGTACTGTCAGTTCTCGCGCCAAGCAACCATTCAAAATATGCTGCCCGGCGCCGAGTGTCAGCTTGAGGTGGGGTGGGCTGGAGGTTGGGCTGCGAGGGAGCTCCATCCATACGTACATTGCTTACAGCTACCCCACCTGACCAGAGTGACGTCACATTTTGGCTCCCGGATCCTCTACAGGGAGTGCAAGGGAGCAATGCACATATGGATGCAGCCCACACTGAACCCCTAACAATTTTTGGGGAGTGTGTGTGTGTGTGAGAATGTCTGTGAGTCTGTGGTTGTGTGTGTCTGTCAGTGTTTTAATTGCAAACTACCACGCAATCGTACCTACTGTTCGTACTGGTGTGGGAGGTGCGTTGCATTGCAATTCATTTGAATAGAACCCCAAACTCCTCCCACCCACAGTGTGATCGCTTGCATCGGGAAATGCGGTATTGCAATGCTGTGCGTTCCAGTGCGGTGCGACTTGGGTCGTGATCTAATGACCAAGGACAAATGCGGGTCCTGAGGTTATACAGGTTGAGAACCTCTGATCTAGTGGAATGTCAGAATATTTATGGCCTATGGCCAGTGACAATGATAGGTCAGGCAGGGTGGACACCCATCTTCTCTTCCTTACAATGTTATTTCCATAACGCTATTAATTTAAAAAATACACATTAAAACAGTGAACAGAAAGGTGAAAAATTCCCTAGGGCTGGTAACAACAGCAGCTCAGCTAGCAAGGCCTCAGCTGTAACCGCCTACTACTACTATTCCAGGGTGGGGGAGATCT